CGCGCCCACCATCCTGCGGGCGGGACTGGGCGTGGCCGGAGGAGGGTGTCCGGGAGGCCGCGAGCCTTTAATTTCGGGGAGGCAGGTCCAGGCGGGGCCCGCGCACCTCCCCACCTCTCTCTGCCGGAGAAGTGGCAGAGGGGCGGAGGCGGGCCCGGCTTGGCGCTGCGGGGTGGGGTCGGCTGTTCCTGCCGGGTGAGTGGTCCTCTTCTCTCTCCCCAGACCCTGTATGGGAGCCGGGCTGGTGACGGAGGAATGGCCCCAAGGCCTCCGACGACCAGGCCCCAGGTAAGCAGCCCGTCCCTACCCAGGGGTATATTTAGAGCAGTCATTGTTCTCTGCTTGAGCGACTCCTTTTCCTGGCTCGGTTGCCCCCTCGGAGCCTCCTAACCGTGAGGAAACCCAGGGTGTCCGGAGCAACGAGGAGCAGGCTTCCCCAGGCAGGGGAGTGGAGGGTTCGGGGGCTGCACTGTGGGGAGGAGGGGACGAGGGCAGTGTGGTCTTGTGGGAGGAGTTAAGAGTGGATGCGTTGCGAAGTGTCAGTGTTGAGAATCCTGAGTGCCAGGCCAATTCCTTGAACTCTGTCAGTAAGGAACTTAAGAGGGTAGGGTGACAGGACACAAAACTGTAGAGGAGAAAGTGACTGTCGGTGAATGAAGGAGAGAGGGGGCCATGGAGAGACCTTAAGGGGTCTGACCAAAGAAGCCTTGTCCGGATTTGCCTAGAAAGAGGCTGGAGGTGGGCTTTTCCTGGGCAAGGAGGGAAGAAAAAAACAACAAACAAGGGAGGACTTGTCCTGTAGCTTTTCATGTCCTTTTCTGCTTTAACAAAGGAATTATTCCTTTAACAAAGAAATAATAGTGCACATCCCCAGACGGCCAGCCTTCGACTTAATTAATATGAAGCTTATTTATTCTTGTGAGGTAGGAGGCATTTTCTAGAAGCATCACAACTCTGAGGTTACCCATTGATTTACAGAGGCTATCAGTGAAAATATAACAAGGTCCAAATGGTATTTTAATCCACACTCTCTTTACAATTAAGGAAAAAAAACCATAGATTCTAGTTTCTGGGTGTGATACAGTCAGGATCAGTACAGATAAAAATACCAGTGTTCTTTAAAAGCAGTTTACAGTAAATTAAACAGTATATATAATGCCTTTATATTTTTTACTTCTTGTTTCCTCATGCAGGTGAAGATCCTTTCCACAGGTGGGGTAGGGTTGCCTTTTTGATGGTGACAGTGGATTTGTGTTCAGGGCAGTGAATTTTAGGGACCTCTTTAAACTTCACTTTAAAAGCTGTGTTCCCTGAGTACTCTGGTTAAGTTATATTCTCGTGGAATGGCCTGACAGTCCACTTCGGTTACCAACTCAGGCTGCGGATGTTGACTGGGAACGGAGGACAGGACAGAACAGAACAGTAGCCCTAAAAATAGGGCTTTTTAGGCAGAAATTTCCCTTCGTCACTGGTTCACTTTCTTTGAGCATGGCTGTCAGAGGAATGGAGAAGATGAGTAGTTGAGTCATGTGGCTGCTTATCTGGGAAGTTAATTTAATGAGGGAAGATAGCCTCAAGCAGCAGTATAGCACAGGAAAGGTGTCGAGTGTCCCCACAGAGATCAGGAGGCTGCTGTGAGTACAGAAGGGAAGGGAAACTCTGTTGGTGGGAAGGTCAGTGGAGGTATTGCCTTTGCATAGGAGTAGAGTCTCAACAGGTGAAAATGAAGGGGATGGGAATAGAGCCTACTGACTGTGAGTCAGCGGGGTTGGGAGGCAAGAAGATGAGGGGCCTGTACGTGAAACCACTGTCCTGTGTGACAGTGGGTGTGGGCTTTAGGCAGTGGGTAGGTGTGTAAGAATAGAAAGGAGTTTGGACTTCTTTCTTTTTGGCCTTGTTAACCTATTCACTTATTCATTCTTTCAGCAGATAGTCATTGAACCCCTCTGATGTGTTAAGACACTTTTCTAGGTGGTTGGGATACATAAGTGAACAAAATTTATAATGGTTTCTCCTTCCATGGAGCTTGCATCCTACAAGGAGATAGAAAAATTCAGTAAGTAAGGAAATTGTATGATATCATAGAAGACAACAGTACCTCAAAAAAGATAAAAAGGTAGAGAAAGGCAAAAGAGATTGAGTAGGGAAGTGTAGGGGCTTGTGGTAGGCGTGCAGTTTAAATTGGGTGGTCAGAATAAGCCTTTTTGTTTTTGAGATGGTGCCATCTGAGCGGACTTGGAAGAGATTCTAGGAGTTAACACTGCACAGGTCCAGAGGGGAGTCCTCTGGATAGAGGGGACAGCGGAATGTGTGTCTCGTGTGTTCAGGGAGCTGCAAGAAGGCTAATATAGGGTGAGCCAGTGTTTTTGAGCAGAGAACTTTACAACTGTTTGGTTTTAAAGATTGCTGTGAATGATGTAGTACAGGAGCAAGAGTTTGAAAGTTGGAGCTCCTGTGAGTGAAACCTTCTACCAGGGCTTAGCTAACAGATAGCTAAAGTGGCCCCCATGGTGAGAGGGGAAAGGGAGCAGAGATGGGCCGGCTCCTGATACCCTGAAAATCCTTGAGTTCTGTGGATCCTTAGTAACTGTGTCTGTAAACACTATGCATCCTTTTCATTATATGTGTACTATGTTTTTAGTTACAATTTTTGAAAGATGTTTGCCATTCTTTTTTTTTTGAGGTTTCAGTATCTTTTATTCTTCTTTTATGTTTAGTAATATGTATCTTTTTAACTTTTTTTTGAGTAATAGTCATTTTACAATGTTGTGTCAAATTCCAGTGTAGAGCACAATTTTTCAGTTATACATGAACATATATTCGTTGTCACATTTTTTTTTTGCTGTAAGCTACCACAAGATCTTGTATATATTTCCCTGTGCTATACAGTATAATCTTGTTTATCTATTCTATGTTTGCCATTCTTAAAGTTGAAGCTATTAGTGGACAGAGAGACCCCTCAATTAGGGAGTCCACGAAAGTGTAGGTCCTTGCCACTGACTGTGAAGGAATTTACAACAGAGGCAGAGGGACAAAATGAATGGCTGTTTTATTACTCAGAAGAGGAAGAGGAAAGAAAGCTCTCCAGAGTGAGGAAAAGGCACTCCAGTGGGCCAAGATGGCCCGTAGAGATAGCTCCAGCTGTGGCTCGGGCCACGTGGAGTTTTATGGGAGGCTTCTGCCATTATGTCTTCTTCCCTCTGAGTGTGATGGAGCCTTGTCTTCTGGCCTTTCATGGACTTTTCCAATTGTTGTCATGGCAACTGTCACTTGTCTTGGTGCTGGTGGGTGTGTCACTTAGCATGCTAATACATTTCAGTGAGAGTATAATGAGGCTCATCGGGTCCGTTGGAAGTCAAATCCTCCACCGTCTTGGGCTTCTAAACAGTTCTTGTTTCTTCTCTTTGTAGCTGCCTCCTGAGACTTAGATAAGAATAACTTTTTTTCTTAAGGGGCAGGGGTATGATCCTGGGGGCAGCAGCCTTGGAAACAAAAAGGAAAGTTGCTTTTAATCAGAATGCTAACAATCTGGTGGACCCAGTGTCCCCCAGAAAAAACTGTCTAAGGCCCAGGAGACTTCAACTCTACTATAAACAAGAGGCAAGGGTTGGGAGGGGGAATCTTAGTTCCTACAGAAAAACTTAAAGATATTGTTATGTATATTCCTTGAACTGGAACCAGGACCCAGGACCCTGTCCTAAGGCTGCACTATTGTTTCTGGACTGTTCCCTCACTTCTGCATTCCCTCTCTTCCCTGATTAACAACTGAATCTGCCCGTTGCAACTCAGGGAAAGTCAAGGAAGCTGAATGAAGCTTATTTCCTTCAAACTAGTAACAGGGGACAGGGAAGTGTTTTGTACCAGGAACCCCATAGGGTCCTACTTGGTATCAAAGCCACCAGAAAAGTAAGAAATGGGGAAAGTTTTATAAGAAAAGGCTGCTTGTGGAGACCAGGTTTCTTGGTGTTCTATCTTGAAGGGGAGGAAATGCAGAGGGACCAGGGCCTGGTCTCTGTTGACTCCACATCCCAAGGGAGCTCTGTAGTCATCAGGATGAACAAATCCAGCAAAAGCTGGCTTAGGTCATGGAAACTCAGAAAAGATGCTCTGGGGAAGCGAAGCCACTTGCTGAACCAGGTCAGGATGTTTGTGGTCAGGGATGTTCGAGCTAACCTCTGTCCAGAGGTCCCCTTTCCCAGCCTGAGCTGACTGGAGCTGGTCTTTAAGTCCCAGCTCAGACCTTCCTTCCCCTGAGTAAGGTCAGTTGCCTCTCCTGTGCATTCCCATAGCACCTGTGCACACCTGTCATAGTACTGTCTTACGTCATATGCGGTGGTGTGCTTACCCATCCATCTCTGTACTGGGCTTTCGGCTTTTTTAGAGCAGGGTCACCTGACTCCTTTCATCCCTTGTTCAGAAGTACACACACAATAAGTGAGTGTCACATGAGCAAACATTCATAACCATTTAACCCCAAGCAGTAATTTTAGACTTTCCTGCATTTTCTGTTCCTAATATAGCAAAAATACGATTTTTCCAGTTGCAGTGATGCTGATTTTCTGATAAAACAATTGCATGAAACAATGTGACTTTCACTGAACAGTTGTAAGAAATTTTGTTTTTGAGACAATGTTAGAATGTCAAAATCTGTTCCTCTAAGACCTATTTCAAAAACATGATTCTTTCCCTGACTTTTCTATGCCTTGTACTACTTTTATTAAAAAAAAATACATATATATATACGCTTTTTAGTAGAAACAAGTCACTTATGATTTCTCTTCTTTAGCACTTCTGTATTTGTTTTGATGAACTTTTTCTCCCTATGCATATTTTTCCCTTAGACATTTTCAATTATAACATTTAAGAATTTTATATAATTTTTATGAAAATTTGTCTTTTTTTAATCACTTAATGGCTATGTTATATTGCTTTGCATGATACACCAAAATTTATTTAACTTTTTCTCATAGAACATTTAGGTTGTTTCTAAAGTTTCTACTATTACAAATAATTCTAAGATAAAGTCCCATTGGTTATAGTAGATAATTAAATTTTTTTTTACATCTGTGTTCTTAAGTGATGCAGCCCTTAGAGCAAGAGAGAGAGATCTTTGGCAGATTTTGATGGCATGTTCATCGTTAATGTATAGAATCATTCAGATCTCTTTTCGTCTTTTTCTGTCTTTTGAAAAAATTTACGTATAAAACATTTAGATCTAGGATTTTTTTTTTTAGAGAGGATGAATTTGGAACAGTTTCCTCTATTTCCTGCTCAATTATTAAGATTTT